ATTTCTTGTTAGCAAAGAGGTTTTTGTTTAAACTGCTGTTTGTGAACTGCTTGCTAGAGGTGAATTTGTTCATGCAATTGCTTTGTAAATTTCTCCTGACACTTGGCTGTCAGCTGACTTGACATTTTAATCGCTCTATGACTCTGTGAAAAATGCTGGCTAAGAAGCAAGCATGCTTTCAAGATTCCTCCCCCTCCATTCCTTTGTTTGTAATACCATGCATGCTGAACCTTTGCAAAACTCTGAGTTTGACTAAGGCTTGAGATGAGAGTGGTCTTCACTGCAGGCAGAGTAATAGATGGAGCTACTTTGATCAGTCACTATATTTTAAATCAGGAAAGCTAGCTTATATGAATTAAATCTCCTTCTTCTTATATTAAATTATGCACAATGGTTCAGACAAGTCATAGTCACAAATGCCACAAGATGTAGCATGACAATTCCATGAGACCCTGGGTGTGATGCAATTCCTTGTATTCAGAGTAAAGTGATACCACATAGCAATAAGCAATCTAGGATTTAATCCATTTCTGCTGGTATCCACAAAGTTTCTGTACTGAAATGGAAATGCTGATGTTCATGTACCTCAGGTGAAACTATTCAGAAGACAGAAGTGCACTAAAATACTCTCTAACACAGATGTTACATGTAAGGCAGTTGGTAAGGCACATTTAAACAATATGGTTTGTGGTACTTGAGCCATACAGTCATAGAGGAACTCTATAGAAAATTGACTCCTCTTACGGTTCTGTTTCTTGCACAGAGATTGACAAACTGCATTCTTACAGAGTTTTTGCATGAGTATTAGTTGGAGAAGGTAAAATCTTTTGGAAAACACTTCCCCTTGTTCTTCCTATAAAAATACAGGGCACATCTACCCATGCATTTGATCAGCCCTAAATTTAGTCTGGTGTAAACTACGCTGGATTAAGCACTTTTGGGCAGGCATCTACACATTTGGGGATTAGGGAGTATATTTGCTGCTCTTTGCACCAAGTTTCCAGCAGCCCTGCAATGGGCCCCTGTCACCAACAGGGGAGCTCCAGGCTTCCCCTGGGTGCTAGCCCAGGAGCTGGCAGGGCACACCAGGCTAGGAGACAGCTAGCTTGCTAAAAGCTGCCCCATCAACAGATTGGAGCAAGAGCCCCACCCCTGCAGCTCTTTCCAAGCCCTGTGCCATCATCACCTGATCAGAGCTAGGACCTGTCCCTGACCAGGACAGTTCCCAGTCCCTTTCCAGCACACTGGGCAGAAGCTGGGCAGCTTCTTGGCCACTCAGTGAGTTCAGAGCAGAGCAAGGAACAAGCTTCCTAGCTCCATGCTTGTGGAGCTGGTGTGGGGAGGACAGGCTCCCCTGACCCCACCAGCAGGGCGCACCCAGTGCCAGCTCTGCAACCATGGCACTGTGGGGCCGGCGCTTGGAGACTCTTATCTGGACCTCCCAGATAAGGATCTCCCAGCACCAGACCCATGGTCATGGAACCGGCACTGGGAGATAAGTGTCTCCCAACTCCTGCTCCCTGATTGTGATCTTGGAGCAGAGGGCTTGGAGCTTTCTGATGCTGGGGCAGGGTTCCTGCGGTGGAGCCCACCCTGGCAGCAGGCAGCTCCTGGGGGCAGGGAGCTAATCTCCCACCCCCTGGTGGATGGCTAAGCAGGAGCAGATTTTGCTATGGTGCTGTTGCTAATCCTGAGAAATTTTGCTACTTGCATTTGCATGCAGCAAGTTTACTCAGGATTAGGGAAGTTTGCTGCATAGTAAGCATGTACATGTGTAAGCACACTTACTTACTTTGCAGTAAACTATGCTAATGCACGGTTAAACATTTGTATAGACACTCCCAGAGTTTGTCTCATGGTTCAAGGTATGCATCAGAATAATGATAGCATTGTGACAATAGCTTATATAGGGTTTGTTTGTTTTTTTTCGCAAGGGAAATTTATTATAAGGAACCATAGATGCAAGCCAAAATTGGACCTTGATGATCACTTGGTCTGATCTCCTGTGCAACACCAGACATAGGATTTCTGTGAATTGGTTCCTGCTTCAATTCCAGTAAATATGGTTAAACAAAAATGTAGCTTTTGCAGAGGGGGAAAAACCCCACTCAGAACTACATGACGGATCTAAACATTTTAACTATGAAGAATTTACCATAACCTTGGGTAGAGTTAGGCAAAATTCCACCTATGGATTCATTTTTAGTCCAACTTTTTTTTTAACTTTAGCTTCTAATAGCTGTATCTTGCATGCTGTTTTATATGCATAAAGTTTTATAGTAGATTAAAGGGGCCTTAAGTATCAATATATATATTTTCTTTGTCAGTACACAGAGTATTATCAGGACAACTAACTTCCTCTGTGTTACGCTAAACAATTTTGAGCTCTTTGAGGCTTACTACAGGGTGTGCTTTCTGACCATTTTTGTGACTCTTTTCTCAATAACAGCCTGTTCTTCCACCATTCTTCTTGATTTCTTGACACCAAAATCAAGACACAGAATTCCAGGAGAAGTTGTCAGTGCCAGGTGCAAAGGTAGTACACGTCTTTACTTCTGCTCAATATTCCAGGTACCGGTTATTTCTTTTGGTCAGAATTACTTTGCTAATTTATGTTCACCATTATTGCCAAGTCCATTTGAATAATTTTATCCAGGAATATAATTCTCAAAGTATATCCTACACTCTTTGTCCTTGGATTTGTGATCTTATATCTGACCATCTCGAAAAAAAAAGCATATGGTTGGCTTGCATCTAGGTAGCTAAGTGTTCCAGTTTACTGTGACCCTCATAATGATAATCAAATGTTTGCATTCATTATGTATCTGTCACCATCTCACTCTGTTTAATCTGAGACCAGTGGGTATCCTGAAATAATGTTCTACTTGAGGGTCATTTGGGAAAAATCAACTGAACATGAGTTCATGGAGTATGCTGGGAACTCCCTGGGCAATAGGCTTTCAAAGTATGATTTAATCCATACTCTTACTTAACTTTGAGTATACATTTTATAAATATATCCAGTCTTAGTTTAGGAATATAGGACTGAAGGAGAACCTTCTGAGTAATAAAGTCTAGTACTGTGTTAGCACATGCAACCACATCAGACAACTGGTTTCCTGTAGACAACTGGATTCCTGTGCAACTTCAATAGAAGAGCCCCCACAGGATAATTCTTTATTTAGAAATATTTTTGAAAACTATCAATTACCCAGTTTTTAAAATTTTTTTTTGGCATATACAATGCTGATTTTTTTTATAGTACCATTTTAAGAAGAATGCCATGTAGAACCTTGAAGATATCGAAACTCTTTGTCAAGGAGTCAAGGATCCTCCCCTACAGCTTCATCTCCATCCACTACTGTGAATGATGGCAGGTCAAAATAACTTAGCTGGTTCAACGCCAATAGCACCAGCAGCAGCAAAGGTACCCAGCTGGAACTGTCACAGAGTCTTCCTTTTTATAAAGGACTTGACAGCAAGAAGTAAACATGTTGTATTGGATATATGTTACTCATTTTGTGTGATGGCTTATCTTGTGTTTTTATGTTTATATGTTTATTATGAAAAAGCCTGAAATAGTTAGAAATATATATCTTAGGAAGCTTTTTCCTGGTCCTGGATAGAAGGAACAGTAAAGAAGCCACAGGCTGGCCTGGCAGGCCAGTCAGTGAAAATGGAAATGAAGTGAGGGGTGAGGGACAGGTTGGGGTGGGGGTGGGGATGTAGCAGTGCAGGTAAAAAATGCAGAGGTGAAGTTTCGCAGAAATCCCTGTACCTCTCTCCTTGAAAGCTTGCAGGCTTCATGGTCTCAGAAGGGGCTACCATCCCTGCAGTTTTTACCCCGCTGCGCTTTAACACACACACACACACACACACACACACACACACACACACAGTCACCTGTGTCATGAGTTTTGCTTGTTAGCAGTTTGAGGTGCAGTTTCCCAGAAACCCTACTTGGCAGGCTTTGTGGCCTCAGCAAGGGCTACCATCCCTGCAGTTTTCACCCTACTGTGGCTTAACACACACAACATGGGTTTTGCTTTCAGAACTTTGAGGTTCAGTTTCCCACAAATCCCTGTACTTATCACCTTGAAATTTGGCAGGCTTCATGCTCTCAGCAGAGGCTAACATCCCTGTAAGTTTCATCAGAATCAGCCAAAAAACAACAAAGATATAGATATTTAATTGATTCCCCATTTTACTCTAGGGCCGAATCTCTGAATTGGCTCCAAATCTTCTGAAGCGATTCGGCTGAATTGAATTGGAAAAATTATTCAGATCGCCGAATCAATCTCTGGCATCCAAATTGGCTGAATCTGAATCAAATAGTTCCCTATTTGCACAGGCCTACAGGATATTTCATTAAGTTGTATTAAGTATTGAAAGGCTAGCTTCTTTTTCTGTTGTCTAGGGCTTTCCCACCATGCTAAGATTTGCTTGTTATCAACCTTAATTTAAATATGGAAAGCAATTTACTGAGATTAATTTCTACATGCTTGTAAACTTCCACTATGTCTATAATACTGGATACTGTTATCCACAGGTTGACTGACCATTTTCCAGGGGGAAGGGGATAAGCAAGAGGTATCTCTCACTTCAACCTTACTGCAAAGACAGAATTCACTGAAGTACTGAAGTACTTCTGTTCACAGAATAGAATGGCTGCATCTTGCAGGCACTAAAAGCAGATGAGAGACAAGGAAAGGGTGGAATGAAGAAGATTAATTCTATAGCCACATGATCTATACAAAGGATAAGCTCCCTGTGAGAGAGAAGAGAAGAATCTCAAGCTACTTTATTTTTCGGCATAGCAAAGTAGGCATACTTCTTGTGGTACAAGACAAGCATTTTGCTCATAGGGATGCAATGCAATAACCTTACCTCCAATTGTCTGGAGTTTGTTTGCTAGCTTTCAAGTCAAGCATAACTGCAAAGATGGATTAAAAAACAAACACATGGGTTCATTTCAACAGTGAAGAGCTATGATATGGGAACAGTAGAGAAAATTAATTTTAGGGTCACTGCCATTTGAAAAAGATATTTGTAGTTTGATTTTTTTTTCATCTCAGTGCAGAATTTTCATTTTAAAAGTGACCTACAAAGGCTGAACAAAATGGCTTTTTGTACTCAGGACTGCTCCATGGCTTTTTATATCAGCTTCCAGTCTCTGTGCTCTGTCAAAGTTGTACAACTTTATACTGAAAATTATTTTAGTGCCCAATCCTAGAAATGCATACATCTAATTAACCCAACAGAAGTTATTGGTACTACTCATATATATTTATTTTTAAGTAGATGCATACGTATTTTCAGGCTCAAATTCTGTAACTAATAAGTTAAAATAACGTCTTTAAATCTGTTTCTAAGGTATTGAGTCCATTGATCTTCATTTGGAGACACTGAACAGGCCAAATGTTGGAACACCAAGCCAATTTTAAGCTTTTTAAACTTCAAGATCTTTCAGTTTTCAAAACCTTGGATTTGTCTTATATTTGCTTGTATTGATGTCTCTTCATTTCCAGTACTTATAAATCAGTTAGAAGAAAGGTCCCTCATGTTCAAAAAGCTGAAGTTCCTCATCCCCTTTTATAGAGTTCCTGCATTCACATCTAAGATCTCTAGCAAAATAGGAAAAATGAACCTTGAAATCAGTATTTTTAAAAGTAAAAGCAAACAAAAGAATACACCCATTTAAGCTTTTATTATACTTAAAGAAGAAAGTAGAGAGCAAAAGAATTATTTTCCCTCTAAAGGTCACTGTTAAATTATGGTTCATTGGGCATGTAGGTAATTATACTGACCTCAGTGACTTTGAAATAAGAGAGCAGTCCCGTCAAGCTGTCATGCAGAACTAAAGGAAAGATATAAATGCTTCAGCATCTATTCACAAAGGATCCAGACGGGTTATTTGAACACCTTATACTCTCTCAGGGGTTCTGACTGTTGTGTTCAGAGTGCTCTGGTTTTATTTTCACAATGTGAACAAAAATTCAATATATAAATGTAGGTTCCTGAGTTCTCAGCAAGACAGGGTGTGATTTATGAATAGAACATGGCAGGCTTGAAAACAGCAATGTAAGTCCTTGTGTGCTATATTACAGTGGATCAATAAAGTACATAAAGTCAATGTCAGTGCAATCAAAAATAAAAAAAAGACTATTTCTTATAAAATTCATATAGAGAGCTTCTATAGTACATTATTTATGAAAGGACTCACAGATAACAGACATTGATAAAAAAGCTATCAGTTTGTTAAAGGTAAGTAATGGCATTTGCTAGAAGCATTGTATAAAACCAAAGCAACGGCATCATGCCTTCTAAAAATTTCTCACTGTAAAAGTGAACAGGGTGAATAACATATTTGGTAATTTTTTATAATATAATTAACAATCTCTGTAAAGATATTCATATTTATGTCAATGAGATGTCAAACCATTAAATTGTCAGCTTAAGTATACATTTGGGTGAATATTTTATAATCTATTTGCCAAATAGTTAAATTACCATGACTAGTCACATTTGACTAAGATTTGAACAGCTGTATCATATTAAACTTTGGCCATTCCTAGTATTACCAAGGAAAGAATCTTTCAAACAAAAGGGCATATGCTCTTAACACAGAGGTGCTACTTGGAGCACACAACAAAAACAAACAAACAAAGATTATATTTCTCCCCATCTAAAAAAACCAACAACTTTCAAATGGAAAATTTCAAATTGTTGTTAGACATTGGAACAGTTCAATATTTCAGTGTTGGGGTGAATGGAAGTTCTCCAAAGTAAAACGTTTTAACCAAAATTTTTATTGAATGAAAATCAAATTCCCTATTCAAAATATTTATTACATTTTATTAACCCTAGTTATGACACTATACCACTTCAAGTGGCTAATCACAAGTCTAAATTTTGACATTTGGGAGTAGAATGGAATCTGTTCTTCTCCCGTTTCTCTAGGATCTAGTATAATAGAGCTTTGATCATACTATAAAGGCATATCATGATAATGTGTATACTCAGTACTGCAAAAAACTAAGCAAAATACAGCTTGCTCTCAGAACTATTTTTCAAGAAGATTTTTTTCTCTGCCAATATTGTAAGGGAAAGGGAAGCCATTTTATAGATCTTTTTGAAAATCTTACATTTGTTATAGTAGAGAGAAAGGGAAATTTCACAGAAAAAAACCCAAAAAACCCAACATGTTCTACAGCAAACCATTCCTTTTCCAATCTATTTTATTACTCATTAATAGTTTCTATTGCAAACTATTGGACTTCTCATACAAAATATGGTCATGTGTAATAATATAAAATGAAGCAGATTTTACTTTTCGATTATGCTTGATTTGTACATGGTATTTATTCAATTATCATCTAGGGAGATGATGGGCTGCTATGATTTTATAGTCTGGAAATTTCTCCAGTGAGTACTCCCAAGGATTCATCTAGTAAAAAAATTATAATCAGAGATGGGCTTGCAAAATCAAAATCTGGTTCTAGCTTAGATACCTGGCATTTAGATTTCCATCTAAGTAGAGGGGCATCATTAAGTAAATCTATGTAGAGGGCTACATCATTCATATTTGGACTAGAAATTTAAACCTGAGTGTTCATGGATTGGTATTGGTGTAAACAGATTTTAATTCCCCAATCCAAGAAATTACTAAATTTCACGAGGAGCAAAAGCTCATTGTTTCTACTGTCAACTCACTGACAGCTGCAACATTTTAATATAGAACAAAAATGTCCTACTTATTTGGCCCCATAGGAGAAATCTGGATCATAGGGCTGCTCACCGGCCAGACAACCCACTTCCAATGGCAGGGTAGCAAGTTGTCAGAACAGTTCCTGGAGCCTCTGCTTCAGTGCAGCAGTGGAGCCCAAGTGGTGACTGGCACCATTGCTCATGCCTGCTTTTTCCCTGTTGGTAAGTAGGCAAAAGTTGATCAGTGTTATCATTCACCTGCTGGGTTCAAGCTACACTGTTGTAGGGGATTTCCCCAGCCCCAGATGAATATTAATCCATTTCCTGCCAAAAGATAGCATCCCATTTTTGTAAAGCAGAGTTTAAGTTAGCATGTAAGCACCAGTCTCCTCTCTCCCTCTCTCTGTTTTGTTTTGTCTTTTAGGACAAAAATAAGAGACTGAAAATTAAGGCTAAACTGTGAAACAACTTTGTACTAAATGAAAAGCTGTGTTACTGTGTTAATAAAAAGCTGTGGAATCATAAGAAGAATATCTGAGGCACTAACCTGCAGTTAGCAGCCAAAATATTGACAGTACAGTTAAACTAAGACTCCATTAGGAAATGATAAATGTTTGGCTAGTTTATTGATAGATATGGCAAAGTGCAGGACTTACAAGATTGACAGATGTCTATTCTTTTCATCTTAATATACATGAAAAGCATTCCTAGGACTAGCACTCTGGTAATGTTGTGGTAAATCCCAGCTGTGCCCTTCGTAATAATTCACACCTTAATTTTAAATAACATCTTGAATTCTAATATGCTCAAATTAAGTGAAAATTTTACATTTCTGTGTCCTGTCAGGCATTTAATACAATACTTGTATTGGTAAATTATGCATAAATTGCATTTTATGAAATGCCGTTTAGAAAATTGCTTGCTTACTGTGGGTGGCCACAGCCTTCAGTCGCTTGTCTGGTGTCTATATGTACAGCTCCTACAAATATAGGGTTGGCTTTTTTATGTCTTACCACAGAAACCTTGCTAGGCTCAAAAACATATTGCACAATTAGAGGATGTTGAGGGCACTCCAGCCAGAGCTGTTGTCATTTTAAGGGTTGCTGGTTAAATAAGAGAAACAGAGTGTGCTAATACTAAACACAAGCTTGGATGGAATCTAATGGATGAGACTTGATAAGCACCTTTTTTTTTGTTTTGTTTTTTAATCATCTTTAATAGTTTATTTGCAACAGTTCAGTAACTTAACTCATTCAAAGTACATAAGATTACTTCTAGTCTGGAGTCAGTGATTAAGAACTCTAGTCAATTTTGAGGAGAAGGAAATAAGCATCCATGCTGGACATAATATTTAAAGGAAACTGAAGTTGGTGGGATTTCAGGACACATTTGGGATGGGTACATGTTTTTTCTTTGTTGTTCTACATATTATTTTGAGGTAAGTGATGAGAAAGTAAAATAAAGACAGCAATAATTAATATTTAAAAGAAGCAGCTGGTAAAACTGAAGACCCAAACCCCTCAAGTCCACCTGGCCTGTGCTTGATACACAGGTGAGAGGGTAATTCTGGACAAAGACTTTTCCTCCACTTTTTTTCCTTACATACTCATACTGTAAATTAGCTAGTAGTCTGTTAAGTTTGTGGTAACTTGGAATAATCTACAAGATGTTTTAGAAAAATAAGTGACAAATTGATTTCAAGTATTCCCTTAAATTCTGGCTACAAATAGTACAGGAATGACGCATCAGGTTGTAGCTGTGGTGCAGAACAACTGTCATAAGCCTACAGACAACAAACAAACAAACAAACAAACAAACAAACAAAAAACCACACACATATACGGATAAACATGAATAAAAAAAACTGTACTACTGAGAAGTACTGCAAATCTCCAAATCAGCAAACTAATGCTGAAGTTAAGCATTTTAAGAGAAGGGAGGAAATGGGACCAAGTAGAATGAGACGCACAGACTTGATAGAATCTACATACCAGGAAAAAATTCTTTTTGTAATAGCTCAATCTAGAAAATGACAAGAGGAGATGTTATCATGCACTTACCCCTCATTAATGTGTCAGATATAGATACAATGTGGCTGAATCACCTAGCAATGACAGTAAACTTTGTTGGTCACACTTAATATTAAGGTTTCATTTATAAATAGTTATAATGCATGTGCGATTAGCAGATGCAATAAGCACATCACTTTATTACCACAGAACTATTATACATCAAACATGTACAGACACATTTTTGTTCAATTTTTTATGATTAATATGGATATTTATTTTCAAAACTAAAAATGGATTTAGCTGTGGAAATTATGGCGAATGCTTGGAGGAAGGAGATCCAATAGAAATACCAAAAACTGCCAAAAGGCAGTACAGTTTTGGTTTAGACCGATTTTTTTCCCCATTTACCTAAAACAGAAATTCTTCAGATTTTTCAGCACAAAAGGTTTGAAAGGGAAATTTCCCCCTCGATTTAATTAATTTTTCCTTCTGGATTTCATCCACATTTTTTCACAGAACTAAAAGCATTTTGCAAAATGTATTTAGAAATGTATCAACAGTTAGTGGAATGGGTGTTTTTAAGCCAGGGTTTTAAATAACTTATTGACATGCTGAGTACATAGCCATTTCAAACCACTAATTTATCCATTAGTTAAAACTTATATTAAACTTTATTCATTCTTTTAAAAAGTATCAATAGAACTTTAATATAAAGGTGTGAGTTGATCAATCTCTTTTCATGAGGGAATTTACTGAAAGAAAAAAACTGTGAACAGGTTAGACTCAACTTTTTCCTTCAGCTTGCAATTTTAATATATAAAGAATCATTTTACAAGGTAAATAACTATACCTTGGCTTAAATTTTTTTTAAGTGACTAGTGATTTTGGGTGCTCAACCTGAGACATGATAAAAGCAACCTGAAGGGGAAAGGGTCAAGCACTTAAAAAACAAACAACCCAGTTATCTGAAGATGTTTCACTTGACACAATAATTCCCTTCTTTTTACACCAAAAAGGTATAAACATTCCAGCAAAAGACTAAAGGAAAAACTCTGTAAGCAAAAGTAAGCGAAGAACAAATGAATCTGGCCAAATGGATAAATACAATAGTTATTCAAGCCAATCTTTTAAAAAAAGATTTAAATGCAGACCAAGAGATGCTAATAGAATGGAACATAAACTCTAACAAGGCAATTAAGATGTAAAATTGCCATAGTCCATGTGTTGTGTTTTGGTCTCCTTAACATACGGTGCTCATCTACGATATTGCAACTTCCCCATGCTAATCAAATTGCATCTAGAAACTGCACCAGCTATTAAGTTAAAATATCTGCAGAAAATGAATGTATTGAATTTGATTCTTGATACTGTTTGGCAGTGAAAGTTGTTGGTCACAGCATTTTTGTCTTGCATCAAAATGCTTGTACTAACAAAGTGATTAGAATATTTATTCATCCTAAAACATGAGCCTACTTTGTTTTATTTTTCTTTTACTTTTTAATTAAATTTGGTTTCCTAGTGTTTTAAAAAGAACCAACACAATCTAAAAAAAAGTTAAAGTAAAGCATTTTGTCTTTTTTGAGGTTTATTTGTTGTTAGCATCTTGTCCCTGAATTCAGTATCAATTTATTCCCTGAAAAAATATTCATCAGAAGAAAGCAGAATCTACAAATTACTTTTCCCAAGTCCCAACGTGAAGTAGTACACATGAAACAAAACAGTGTTCATGGAAAAGATCAGGGGTAAAAAATATTCCTTTCAGACCAATTTTAAAAGTCCATTGATGCTGCTACAATCACCTGAGTTACATATGATAATCTCAGGCATGAAAATACAAATTACTGCAAAGGGACTTGTCACTGTCATTGTCTGATTAGTTCTACAATACACTCAAATAATCTATGACTAAAGGGGCTTAATCTAACCAATTGTTACTGTTTACATACTGCAGACAGAACAGCCAAGACTGAATTGTATCATTAGTGTTCAACATGGGACTTTACACTGTAGATCACTCAGTTCTGTCATTTATCTTGCAAGTGATAGAACCCAGAAGGCATCACTTTAAAGAAAAAATAGCTCAAAGCATTTGCTTCTGTTACGTTATATAATTCTCAATAATGTACTTTATTACCTTGCACTTTGAACTATTTTTCTTAATATAGCTGGCTACAATTCAGGGTTTGCCATCTTAGGTAACTCAACTGCACAACTTTATGCATGTGATTGCTTCAATCCTTAATGAAAAATACAAAGTTAAAGCTTAACCTTTAGGTTTTATCAAGATGTGTGGCTGAAAACATATGGGGCTAATGTAGCATCTTACACAGAATAATGACAGAAGAATCACTGGGGCATGAAACCACAACCTGCAGGGAGTTAATCATGATCATTAATCACTGTGCCACATTGTTCCTTTCTTTGTTCTTTGTGAAGAATTGAGTGTTGAAAGAAACAGACTTCATTTTTGTTTACTGAATATAAATGAAGTTCAAATCATCACCACAACTTGATGGGCTGGAAGAACAAAATAATTCTAGAAGTTGGCTGTTTGACATACTGGAGGACTCAGGAACTTGGAAAACTCAAATGATAAGTGTTTCCCTTCTAGGTTACATATTGAGAGCACAGCAATGGGGACACAGATGTTCATCTGCCGATGTAAAATAACAATGACGATTCACACCCAGTCAATAATAGAAAGGTGCCCTTATTGCAAAACATACTTAGGGTGAAGTTACATGTTTCACTTGGACCATACTAAATTTGTGGAATGTTAAGTAGTATCTAAATTATGTTAGCAGTTGTACCTTAAAGGTTAATACCGTTTCTTGCCTGTAGATTTCTGACTTCTCACTAGAAGGCTGACAAGCAGAGATGTGGCTAGGACCAAGGGAACCTGAGTTTTATCCCTATTCTGAGGGAGGAGGGAACTGGTAGCAGTGCACTCTGGGATGCTGTAGGATTTCAAATTGCTCCTGTGGATCAGACTGAAGTTATCCTAACATGAGCTAACTAACACAGCCCAGAATTAACCCTAATTTGAAGTGATGCAATTGAGATACTTGCAAGGCATTTAACACAAGTAAACAAGCTTTAACATGAGGGGCTCTATCTACATGCCACAAGATTTGCCCTTTAAGGTGCTGCAACTGCATTTCTGTTTGCACGAGCAGGATTTCACACTGCTTTAAAAGTATTTTT